TATTCTTCAAGTGTTAGAAAAGTATGGATTTCAGATTACGAGCATTTGTTATGATGAACCACGTCAAACAGAAAAGATTATATTGATGAAACCAGCTCCCTTATCTGTACAAGCTACTGAAATCTTTGAAATTCGATAGAAGAGATGATAGAAACTATAGAGAGAAACTGAACGTCAATTATTTCCTCTTTAATTTTTGATGTCCTTAGAATAGAAAAATTTGCAATTGTCATCAATAAAAATTTACATGTAAAACTTCACTTGTTAACATCATTTTACACACGATTGCATTAAAGTCAATGATGATTGTATTTAAAGACAATGCGGGGTTTAAAATGAAATTTTGTTATTGATATTGACAGCCGTGCATGCATTAAGTTTTAAAGATACAAAGTAATTGCTAGGATTGACATTGTGAAACAAAACGATCTACATTGTCATTGTCGAAACCAGGGGCCGGTTGTTGTACGAAAGGCGTACGAACTATTAATTAAAAACGACGTTTAAACGCTACCAACGTCACATAACGCATTTCGCTTGAAAAATCGCGTTGTGCGGAGCCCGTTTAACCGAGAATAAGTCTGCACTTGTTATTCAAATGACACAATCTATACGAAATTTGTTATTCACATCTATATGTCTTGTCAAAGAAAATTAGTAAGTGAAATGACAAATTTTGTGTTTTCGTGCGGACGGGCGAAAACGAAGGTTTTCAAAGATGGTGACGTTACAATCAAGTTCAATCCAATCATAAACGAAAAGTTGATCAACTGCGTTTGCAAATGACGGATCTGAAGTGCCTGGCTTCTTTACTTGGAATGATATCAACATTATCGGTGACGATTTCAACTCTTGTAAACTCGCGTCAAATCAAACATTCTACGACACAAAATAGATGATTTTATAGCATACAGCGCAAAATCACACCATTGCAATTTTATCCTCCCAAAGCTTGACGATTTCTTATTACAAACATTACGCATGTTCTGTGCTTGGAAGAAACAAATTCTCTCCGTCTTTGTGTATACGTGTGAAAAGGTTGTGTATACGTGTGAAAAGGTTGTGTATACGTGTGAAAAGGTTGTGTATACGTGTGAAAAGGTTGTGTATACGTGTGAAAAGGTTGTGTATATGTGTGAAAAGGTTGTGTATGTGTGAAAAGGTTGTGTATACGTGTGAAAAGGTGAAAACGATTCAAACACGCTTCGTGGGGATGAAAATTTTTTTCAAAAAGGAGGAAAAAATCTGTATTTTCAAGGCAATCGCGTATGGAACGATATGGATTGACGAAAGCAAGTGAAGTTTTACATGTAAATTTTTATTGATGACAATTGCGATTTTTTTTATTCTAAAGACATCAAAAATTAATAAAGAAATCATTGACGTTCAGTTTCTCTCTAGTTTCTGTTATCTCTTCTATCTAAGCTGAGGTGACTGCCATGCTGGTTTCATCATTATGATCTTTTCCGTTTGACTTGATGGGTCATAACAAATGCTCGTCATTTGAAATCCACACTTTTCTATGACTTGAACAATATCCATCTTCATGAGTTGATAAGGTTTTTGAGACTCAAATGTGTAATCTGGGGAAGTTATCATCAACTCCATCGAGTGATTACTCTTGACTGAAGAAATGGTAAAATTAGGTTTTCCTTGCTTTAGAACTTCAAGATTACTGCTTAAGTCTTTTACATTTGCTATATCACCGTATACAACAATGCTTCCGTGGCCATTTTCGACTGTTTCTATTTGTAAATGCTTTGGGTATGCGAGCGCTTGGTCCATTTTCACTTTAAATTCAGTTAAAGTTATAGAAATTCAGTCAATGTTTCACCATTAAATTGTTCCTCTTCTTTAATACACTGAACGTGATCGCGCGAGAATTAACGCTTAGTTTAACAGAACAGGAAATAAACCAATATATAACAGAGGCTGCCCGACTAAGGCTAGCACAATATGTTGTGCAACTACAAAAATGTTATGTTTTTAGAAAATTCGCTACAGTGTAAATTTATTAAATGCATTTGACTGTGAAGGTGACTACCATTAAGGTTGTCGAAACGTCAGTCAACAACAACAAAAACAGTCCTTCTCAGGGCTATACCAACCTGGACGATCTACATTTACAAACATGTAACGATACTCCCGAGTTCAAACCATTTACTTTATTACGATCATTTAGACGACAGAGTTAGGGCGATTAAGTTACAATAGTATGTCCGTAGGATATACGGAGACAGTTTCAGAACATGCGCAAGGAGTGTTTCATATTGATATTTGCCGCTAGTATTTCCCCCTTCCCCGCCAATACTACTGAGATTGGACATTTCATATGTCGTAGTACAGAAATAGGAGAGGTAGAGAATGCGCCTGCGTGCAATCTCTACGGGTGAAGAGCGGGACAAATACATTCTCAGGTACGCCATTTGAATGGATGGTTTGACCCTTGAAGTACAGTTACATGTTTAATAGAGGTTGATTGTCATGTATAGTGTAATACTGAGAAGGATTGTTGGTGTTCGAGTTGACTGACAAACTTAGCGATGGTAGTCATATTCAGAGTTGTATATGAATAGTAAATAACTCTGAAAAAGACTACTGCTAAGGATGTTTAATAACTCTGAAAAAGACTACAGCTAAAAATGTTTAATAACTCTGAAAAAGACTACAGCTAAAAATGTTTAATAACTAGGAAAAAGACTACTGCTAAGGATGTTTAAAGCCAGTTAACATCAACAACAACAGTCCTTCTCAGGACTACACTAAACAGGACGATCTACATCTACAAACATTGTTTTCTAATTATATCTCATTCATGACCCGCGTCGCCGTGACAACAGACGTCACGTGATCCACTCCTTCTTAACACGTGCTCTAACATACTGTGATGGCAGGCATAGAAAAAAGCAAGTTCCACCAACCTTTGGGATCTCTTTTTTCCAAAAACCTCTGAAATCCCTCAAGTTCCTCTCTGTCTTTCATCAAACTTTCAAAGCTCACTCCGTCCGGAGGGACAGGTAACGAGTTTTTAACATCTTCCACACCGTACCTTCCACTTTCGAAGTTTTCTTTTCCTTCTTGATCGTCCAACTGTCGAAAGATAGAGGGTAGATAGTTGGGTGAACGAAATTTCATCATAAAGCCTAAAGTCAGTTCGGGAAAGTAAAACGATAAAAAGATAAATATGATGTTAAAATTATATTTTCATTGAAAAGAACTCATAAAATGACGGTGAGTTTAATCATAACTCTGCATTCTCAAGATTTGTGGAGGAAGTGACGTCACTTTTGCATAATGAGAATTTCTGCATACGTGTTTCATTCAAATAATAAATTTGCAGCAACTCATTACGCAACGTGAGGTCACTTTCTCCATAAATCGACATCACACAACTTTAATAAGTTGAGAATGCAAAGAGATACGACAAAACTGTTTTACAAAGTCCACTGTCATTTTACAAGCTCCTTTCAATGAAACTATAATTTTAAAAGCTAATTTTTTTCTTTATACTGGTCCTAAACGTCTTTCAACTAGAAGTCTAGAACGAATAGGAATGACTTCATAAAAGCAAGTTCACCCCCAAGAATACTAACATACAGTAGACCATTTTTGGAGTGGGGGTTTATGCAAGCGAACACTCATGCATTTGTCAGAAGCGTGCACCCCCCCTGGATAAATACAAATTGGCTCACAGAAGATTCTAACGAAACACTATTCAGGGAGGAGAGAAAAACAGAGCGTTGGAAGTTTAGAAACACGTGAAACGCAAAATTGAAAATTCTGTTTCAAGTTTTACAATGAACTTACTTCGTTCGATAACAAAGATATTTTTCGTCGTGAATTGTTGTCGTTCAATTTCACCGTAATGAAACGCAACTGTTCACTCTTTGGTATCTAAGATATGAAACTTCGTTTATACTGGACAGCGTTAACAATTAGATCATATATCTGTCTCACCTCCCCCCCCCCCGTGTTCTTACTATCCAACTTCCCACACTATGTATCTTTATCATGGAGTTTTTGATTAATTCATAAATTCCTCACCATTTCGTATTCTTTTCGTTCATCACGGCAAAGACTATCCCATGGTTCTTTGAGGCACGTCAACACATGATCATCTACGTCATCAAACAGATCTTCGTATGGCGGATTCAATTGTTTCTTTATACTTTCTCTGACGTTGGAGGAAATGTTGATATCACAGACGCTCCCTGGAGCTAAGAATCTTTCGTATATCCACTATAATATAATGAAATTGGGCTCGTCATATCTTCATACAAAATGACAAACCTGTTATATCAATCAAAATTCCCCAAAATATTCACTGTTCACATTCTATATCCCCTAAAATCCCATCACACATTCACAGTTTACAATTTATACCTCCAAAATCCTTCAACACATTCACAGTTCACATTTTATATCCCCAAAAATCCTACAACACATTCCTAGTTCATATTTTACACTCCCCAAAATCCCCAAACACATTCACAGTTCACATTTTACATCCCTCAAAATCCCCTAAACATTCACAGTTCACAATCTAGCCTACTTTTATTTAAACATCAATTTAGAGTTTGAACTTCGAGAACGATAAAGCTAACAAAGCTTTCTAAAGATGTTGAAAATCTTCACCTTGGCCTTGAAAATCACAGTTTTAGAACAGAAGGGACCACTTTCGAAACAAGCGGAATAGTCTCGCGTCGCTTGCCAGAAAGACAGGCAGTTGGACCAGAACTAAACGGACAAAATTGGAAAAGTAAGAGAAAATTAATCATAACCCTGAAGACAAGAATCATGTTCAAAGATCAAAACAAGATATTATAGACTACAAGAAAATCGACTATTGAAAGAAGGATTAAAATGTTAGAACAGGAAAAAGAGAGTATAATTTACTTTATTGTTTTCTTTTAATATGAAATCTTTCAGGAAACGTCCTGACTCAGCCTGGTACTCCAAACTATCACGTAGCGACCGCTCTACGTCATAGGTTTCGTCCTCCTCGACTGAATCACGTGACTGCTGTCCACGCGCATCGTCCATGACGCCATACCACCTTTTGAAAAAATCATATAGTGAATATTCCAACTCCTGAGTCAATTTGATCATTTATGAAACATGAAAACTGACATTTGGTGACGAGGGGGAGTTAGAATGACCGAGATAAGCGTCATATAGGAAGAGTGACTCATTAAATGTTTGAATAAGCCAATCACAGAGAGATTACCTTTGTTCCAAGACTCTACTCAAACTAGGCGCGATTCTCGGAGCAATGACAAGTCTGATTGGTGAAAAATATTCCACGTCACAACATCTTGGAAACGCGCTGATTGGTCGTTTTGAAATCCGAATTCTTCCTTCTCTGGCGTTGCGTAGATCTGAATAAAAATTTAGGAAGTTCCTGCAATAAATTATCTCTTGATGAAACACAACTGTAGAAATCACATCATCCCTCACCTCAAGCTGTCGCTTCCCAGCGTTCGTGTGATAAGGCGTCGTCACTTTGCGTCCACGTGCAGACTTTGATCTCAGTTGGGTCGGTTTCCATTTGTTGCACGTGCGACTCACGTGTTGTAATGATATGTTGCTTTCCCAATGTGAACTTCTGCTGGAATAACTCACTATACGGGATTGTGGTGTGTTGTATGAATGTGGTCTAGGGATGTATTGAACGTTGAGGGATTGTGGTGTGTTGTATGGGTGAGGTCTGTGGATGTATTGAGCATTGAGGGATTCTGGTGTGTTGTATGAATGTGGTCTGTGGATGTATTGAGCGTTGAGGGATTGTGGTGTGTTGTATGAGTGTGGTCTAGGGATGTATTGAGCGTTGGTGGGATATGGTGAAATATGTATCGGTGTACAAAAGTGTATTGATGGGGACATTTTTGAAGATGAATGAACTTTTTTCGAAATATTTACTTCATGCAACGTGAACCTTTTACACCTATCGAACAAAAAGAATGTTCAGAGTTAATATTTAGGAAAGCTAAAAATGCTAGGCGAGAACTTTTTTAATGCAAGCGAGCTCAAGGATGACTGAAACTTTCAGAAAATCTATCTAGTATTTGTTCAGTTGTTACAAATTACTATTTTGTTCCCCGCATTGTTTTCAATTCCCCAAAATATTCACTATACATTATAAAAATGAATTACCAATAGTTTAACAATGTTTCTTCAACGATTCTCTGTGCTTCATTCATATCTTCAGCTAATCCTGATAACATGTCTTTCTTTATCTTACGTGGTAACTCCAATGGCGAACCATATTGTTGTTTCATTTCCTGAACATATCTACAGATGAACAAGCAAAATACGCATGTGCAGCTCAAATACTTGGTTATAAATGGACAGTGTTTCATGAAATATTTTCTCTGTTTCACACAGTACTCCTCTATTTCACATTCCTGTTTCCATTCCCTCCATTCCATTTCCATTCCATTCCATTCCATTTCCATTCCATTCCCTCCGTTTCCATTTCCATTCCATTCCTCCGTTCCACTCATTTCCATTTCCATTCCATTTCCCTATTCCATTACTCCTTCCATTTTCTTCCATTCCGTACTCCTCCGTTTCATTCCATTCCCTGTTTCCACCATTCTCCTCCTATTTGTATTTCCCTGTTTCCACATTACTCCCTCTGTTTCACATATTATCCTCTGCTTCAAACGATGTTTACCTTTTTCTTTCTTCGCTATTTTTAATATGTTTCCAATACTCAATTTGCAGCCAAAGCAGAAGCAAACTTTCGCCTTTAGTGTCGACCAGGAAGTCTTTGAACTTGTCCATGGCTGTTTTTGATGAAAGCAAGGCCTTCCTTTTAACGTCGTTATCATTGATTTTTCGATCGCTTTCCACTGAAATACCGTTATATTGCAAAGAATCCAACGAACTTGTTGTATTTTGCAAGAAACAATCTCCATCGTTTCTTTTCTTTACCAATTCATCATTTTTAAGCTCAACAAAGTCATCTGAATGTTCATTCTTGGATTTTTCGTCTTCATCAAATCCTTTTCCTTTATTACTGTTACCCGAGACATTTAATGTTAGCACTTCATCATTTGAAGCACCGTAAACATCTTCTCTTACGTCAATAGTTCTGACGTCAGCACCTGAGATGATGTCACCGCTTGTTTTGTCGTTGCTTTTGTAAGATTGTTTCTCTGTGCTTGAGGGACTCGTACTTCTAAACTGGTCGTCCAAATGACTGTTGAAACTTTCTTTAGAAGAGATTCCACATGTTTTCATTTCAGTAATGAATGTTTTTCCTCGTGAGATATTTCCAGTGATTCTCTCGAAATAATTTGCCTAAATCAGATGCAAAATCATTTTGTTTCATAAGCTTCTTCCACAGTTTAACCACTAAACCAAAAACTATAGCAGTCCTATTTCATACTATCAATGGACAAAACTGAACCCAAATCTCGACCATCTACATTGGTTTCATGACCTGAGATTAGAAATGAAATTTGACATGAATCATTCCTCAGCAGAAATCAGTTGAGTACAACATGAATACCCTCAGTGACGGATTACTAATTACAAGGCCTGAAGGCTTAAGCCCGTTTTCAATTAGCCACGTATCGTAACGTATCGGAGCAAAACGTAACACGGCGCATGCGTGCTCGCTTCTATTGACCATCAAATTCATAAGCGCGCATGCGCACTGTTACGTTTTGCTACAATACGTGGCTAGTGGAAAACAGGCTTAAGACAATGTTGTTGGACTTTAAGTAGGATATCTATTCCTTCCACTATGTTCAGTCTCTTGATGACATTTGTGTAACTAACGCTCCTTTGCCTTTGCATTTCCCAGCTTGTTTTTGAAACTCGTAGCATCAACAATAAGGAATAAATTTACAGTTGAAACTGGGAAAACCGAATACTTTATGAGTTTCGATTATCGTTCATTTGAACAGCAGATCGTTCGATTTTCATCAGCAGAAATGGTCTAAATTAAGAACATTTAACTCACACGGAATTGCAAAACCTAAACATGTCTAGACATAACGGGGCTCTCGAAAGCCCGAGCCTGTAGGATTCAGTCTATTTAGCCCAGTGAGTAATCTGCCAGTGAACACCATTTCCCATGCATCAATCGTCGCTCTATCAACAGCCTGCACCAAGCACTTCAAACATCATTGAGGGAGGGGAGGTACAACTTCCCTGCGTCAATCGTCGCTCTATCAACAGCCTGCACTAAGCACTTCAAACATTATTGAGGGGAGGTACAACTTCCCTGCGTCAATCGTCCCTCTATCAACAGCCTGCACTAAGCACTTCAAACATTATTGAGGGAGGGGAGGTACAACTTCCCTGCGTCAATCGTCGCTCTATCAACAGCTTGCACTAAGCACTTCAAACATTATTGAGGGAGGTACAACTTCCCTGCGTCAATCGTCCCTCTATCAACAGCCTGCACTAAGCACTTCAAACATTATTGAGGAGGGAGGTACAACGTCCCTGCGTCAATCGTCGCTCTATCAACAGCCTGCACTAAGCACTTCAAACATTATTGAGGGAGGGGAGGTATAACTTCCTTGCGTCAATCGTCGCTCTATCAACAGCCTCCAGTATAAACGTCATATGTTACCTGAGCCGATGAAAGAGCTTTTGATAACTTGTATTCTGCGAAAATCATACTTCTCACGAATTCATCTAATCTGTACTTTTGTAACCATTTTAAAGTCGATTGGTGATCGAGAACTGTGACACAGTAACTGATCTGAACTTCGTTTCTGGTTGGATCGTGTCTCTTTTGAATATTTCCACAATCATCTTTGACTAGTTTCTGTGTAAATTCTTCCAAAAGGCCAGATTGTTTGTCGTAGTAAATTCTTGTTTGAAAGCACTGGAAGTTGATGTTCATAAAATTAACACAGAAAAAAAATGTTAGTTTCAAAATCTATCCCATACTGATTGGTTCGCGGAGTACACTTATTTTAGGGTGAGCAGGAGGGTATGTACCACCTCATTTTCTAAACATTTTATTCAAAGTTTTTCTGTCTGTAAATAATATGATGTTGGTCGGTAGATGCTCTCCTTTGGTCAAACATCAAACAACAGTAAAATGGTCTCAACCATAAACGCTGATTTGAAAGCATAAATCATGACCAACTTTCAAATGATTTGGTCATTATGTAAAATTTAAAATTTATAAAATTTAAGTCATCAGCTAAGCTTTGTTGATATTGTTCTAGACTTTTTTAAGATGAAAAATACATATTTAAGACACACTTACTGGCAATGAAAGAAATGTGTTAAAGTATTCCACAAACGTATCGTCATCTCGAAGATACTCAACCTAAACAAAAGACAGTCTGTTATATGGAAGTTTTCAGTCCATGAAAAAGATTTGTATAACTCGGACATTGCTAGTTGACATTACGAGTTCGAGATTTCTATGAGATGATAGTTGATGAGTGCGTCGGGCTTGGTTTCAGTAGAGTCATACTAAAGTAAATGGTTTGAGCCCGGGAGTATCGTTACATGTTTGTAAATGTAGATCGTCCAGGATGGTATAGTCCTGAGAAGGACTGTTTTTGTTGTTGTTGACTGACGTGTCGACAACCTAAGCGGTAGTCATCTTCAGAGTCAAATGAGGAGTAAACGTCAGGTTAGCCGTATTAACCGAAGAACCAGATAGCAAATACGGCTAAACTGATGTTTACTCCTCATTTGACACTGAAGATGAAATCGCCAAGGTTGCCGAAACGTCAGTCAACAACAACAACTTCTTCGGTTCTACCATCCTGGACGATAAATATCGATAATATCGATAAAAATTTATAACATCGATAAAAATTTCAGTGGTGATGAAAATAAAGAAGATGAGCAACACGGCAGTTTGGAAGATAGGGAACATGACGAAAGCAATTCCAGTGAACAAATCGTTCAAGATGATCTTGCAGGAGAGACGGAAGAAATGGAAAATGGCACAACGACTCAATCCGTACAGGAAAGTTTTATCGAAGAATTTTTGCCTCACGTGCAAGATTTAATTAGAGAATTTGGATTTACAATGGAACTTTTAGATGGAGATTTTGTTTTGAATGTTCAATTAACACAAGAAGAATTGTAACATGATTTCACTCCAGAACTTTCTTCTTCTCACGCCATTCTTACATTCTCACTTGGAGCAAAACTTTAAGATATGGAAAACATTTTCGGTATTTTTATAGAGTACGTATTTTAGTAATTTTAGTGCTGAGCTTGGAAGAAATATTGAGTTATTAAACTTTAAAGTTTACGAAAACCTTGTTCTGCGTCTATGCGACATTATTTTCAATAAATTGTAGAATACGATATAGTGAAAATAGCTTTTGTCTACTCGTTATTTTCTTGGGGCGGCAAAAATATTTAATAAGCGCCGCTCCCACTTAAACGCCGCTCTCGCATAAGCGCCGCATTCAAAATCGGAAATATTAAATAATCGCCGCGGCGCTAAAGCGAGAATTTACGGTACATTACCCAGGTTTATGTAATGTATAAACGAAAAAGACATTAAGAATGGACAAACATTCATTTAAAATATCTAAACATGCACTGAGCAAGCCAAGAGTTGTTCGCTTTTTAATAAAGACGGCAACCACAACAATTGTATGAATAAAACAACGACAAATAAAGGAGAACTTCAACAACCCTTTTCCTTAAGAATACTAAAGTATGACTCTTCTAAAATAATTAGATTATTCGCTCCCAATTTCCATAATATTATCAACTAGTGGAGATATCGAGCGCGTAATCTATAAAACTGTGAATTATGTAGAAGATATCAATGTTGAAAGTTTTTTACTTACAAGGTTCTCTTTGTTCAGCTCAACGTTTGTATCTATGAAAGAAAAACGATGCAATTAAACGAAATATGTTAGAGAAAGCAACTTATATCATAAATTCATAGACGGCTGTAAATTATAGTAATGAAGAAGTTCAGACTCAGAATTATATAGATATCATTCAGTATTGTAGTAATTGTACTGTTGTTCGAGCCTCGAATTAAAATTAATACCGATGAAGATGTACTCTGAAATACCTTCCATTATGTTCCCTTTTAGAAGCCATCCAAAAATTCATAGCTTTAAATTAATCTTGAAGTGAGTTTTTATTGTAAATATTTAAAATTAGGTTTCGGTTGTTGTCAGGACGACGTTATTTGCCATCCTTCAGCATGCCATTATATAAAATGGCGCTGCCCACTACCATAGCAGACCATTGAGCTCTAAAAGACCTGGAGGGGCAAAGGGGCCTGGGCCTCGTGGTCAAAAACATGGCGGTAATGGCGGATTTTGGTTGTCAAAACTTCCACTTTGAGAAAAATTTTTAACATTCGCTCCCTCCCGAAACGGATCTCTATTATTGCTCATAGTAATGACAACCAGCGAAAACAACCACGATACCGTAAGCATAAAATATTGAAAATAATGCTTAAGGTTTTTGTGAAATAGACACACACATTTAAATGAGGTAAATCTACTGTAAAATAACGTATATTTTGTCAAGTAATGCTTTAGCTATATTAGAAATAAATATCAAACGGCAATCTTTACACTGTTAATGTGTTGTTAAGCTTTAATGCATAATCCCATGCGCATTACTTGTGTTTTTGACTGTTTGTGAAAGCTTGGTGCAACTGTCTTTCTTGAATAGATGGGTAAATCTTAGTTAAAATGTCGAAAAAGGAGTTAGAAAAAGTTAGCTTACCCCTACGACTTAAGTCGACTGGAAATATATTATAAGTAGGTATGTAATTGTTTTGAGTTTTTTTTGGTAGGATTGATTCTGGGTGTCTTATAAAGTATTATGATATTCTGATAAATCTACTGAGAACTTATGAGGAAAATATCTTGAACTAGGAGAGCAAAAGAACGAAATTCAGAAATTCTATAATCATGTTGCTGATTCTGTTTTAAGCCAAGATATTAGAAACTGGATTGTTATTGACAACCATGGATCTACTACTGAACAGAACTACATTAATTTCCCATTGAAAATACTATTTCTTAAATCGAAGTGCATTGTTTTCTCTGACATAACACTTTTCTTATTGCTGCATGAAGGCAAACCTGTTTAAATAATTATAATGTAGGTGAAGATATTTAGCATGTTGTATAATTGTTATTATACAGACATTATTTATAATATTATGGCCTTGTATAATGTATGTCAAGAACTTATTAATTCTCAAAAATGCTAACCTTCTTGCACTACTTTTCTTTTGTGTCCTTACAAATTACAGTTACCTATACTAATTTTTTCTAGGTTCAAACAACTTGACAAATTTTTGAATTTTACATTATGCCTTTGAATTTTTCTTTTTGTCTTTTGGTAAAAATATCAGTGAATGACTTAAAAATCAAGTTTATCTAAAATAGTATTTTGTACAAAGTAACTATACATAATTGGAAAAGTCTCATGTTGAAGGCAGATGTGGCTTCTTTTACTAGATTGCTACTCTTATTCTTTTAAATGATATCGTAATTCTTCAAAAGACATAAAAAGTTCTTTGCCATCAATTTTTGCTTCTTATGTGAATTTTGATGTGGCTTCTTTTACTAGATTGCTACTCTTATTCTTTTAACCAATGCATCTTATGTGAATTTTTAATCACCTGGAATTGAAAAATGTATGGATTTTGTCAGATGATGCAGTACTGTATTTAATGTTTCGTGCATGTCATAAGCTTTTCTTGAGCAAATATTTCAAGGTAGGAGCAAAATTTGGCACATTATTGAACAAAGTAGTTTTTATCTTGATTTTGATGTACTAACCTGTTTAGTACACTGTGTAACAAACAATTCATTTACAGAAACACCATATGGCATTTATAAAACTTTTAGCATAAAGCAAACCTTTACACACCATCATCATGCTTGTCCAAATCTGTCAAATTGTCCAGGCTAGCTGTTTAATACAGGTAATTTTTATTGTACGACATGTACCAAAGAGCTCATTAATTAATCCTGCACTGCATTTGATTTCAATACAGCTCTGTCCTTAATATTTGCTTCATATTTTCAGAAAAATATCATGAAAAAATCCTCCATTTCAACTGAGTTGAAACAAGGAGTTTTAAGATATGCATATCTCGATAAGAACTGGTTGCTTTGCCTCGTCTAGCAATCGATTAAGTAAAGAACAAATAAGACTGGATAAACATAACTTAAATTACAACTTAGGAGTAAAAACATTCACAAAATATATGCCATCACACTTCAAGTATTGACTTAAAACAAAACACTGAACACTTTAAATAGTAAACAATCTTACGTTGCTTACCGGTGTCATGAAATGTTTCCTTTTCTGGCATTACTTCAGCATCCGTAAACCAAACAAGTTTGCAGCATGTTTTAAAGATAAAATTTCTAAAAGTTTTTGTGCTTGGCATTGATATTTTCTATAATCGCAATTGTGGTTGTCAAATCCGGGTGGGTGAAAAAAATTTCATTTTATGAGCCCGCGTCTTTCCGCTGACTTTGACAACCAAAATCCGCCATGTTTTTGACCACGCGGCCGCGCGCTAATAATTTATACTAATTTTGTTGACGTTTCCCCTCCAGTTATTATAGAACTCAATGTAGCAGACTGGGCATAGATATAGTAGGTCTAGATCATTGAGTTCTATAATAACTGGAGCGGCTATCTCAAGCGCGGCCTTAGATATCTGGTGACGCCAAAAAAATGGCGGATTTCGTCCTTTGCCGCTGAGATTTACCGAAATTGACCGCTTTTCCGAAAATTTCACAATTTCCCACTCCCTCCTGAGGAAAGAGTGAGGAAAATGTATGTGTGTATTTGGGATTCGGCAAGCAATTTTTTGATGAAAATCAAGGTAATAACCTTAAATTCATAACAGCGAATCAACTATGGTTGTCAGTTATCTGCTCCTACGAGGATGCATTTATAACTATCGACGAAAGACCTATATGTCGGCTACACATGTATGAATGTAGATGTGCGTCGTTTTCTTACCAGCGTAAAACTTATGTGATCGATTAAACTCTTTAGTCCATACAAAAAAGTATATCATAGCTCATCTCCACGGTTCACGAGAGAGAAGTTAGCTTATTTGTTATCATTGCTATTTTGCTTCTTTTCATGCAATGGGCAATGGCTTTTTTCGCCACAATTGTAGGATTTTTACTTGTTTCTTTAAAAAAGTACATATTAAATCTCTGGATATTTACGGATTTTCTGTAATTGAGTTTCATATGAAATTTCAAAAAGACTCAAGTCTGCATAGGTTTGGTAAATGAAAACAAACAATATTGTATAGAAATTACTTTAAGTAACCTTTTTGTGATGTTCTGAAGTGCAACTGCATCAAATACTTGTAAAGTTGTAGCACATTTCGATTTTGTTGTATTGATATATGAATTGGGCAAAATGCAAATAATAATCAAAACACTTATGCTTCCAATGGTGTTTATAATTCATTTGTAGTTTTAATACTTCTACCTTTCTTTTTCACTTTGTTTTGTTTTTCCTATATTTGCAATAAAAGTGCACTATAATTTGAATGATTAACACAGTTTTCACCTCAATAATAAAATTCATAAGCAGTTGGTAGTGCATTTTGTTCTCTGAGTATCCACATCTGGTGTTTTGTTCATACAAGAATGATGAAGTGCAAGTAGATATGTCATAGCAAGGCAATAAAACCAAATGAATTACATACCTATATAGTGTGCTTTTATGCTAGAAGCTTAAAAGCTTTTTAGACATTAGAAAGTTATTGGATTATATTACCTCTATATCATCAATCTCATGACAAGAAATAAGAAGCAAAAAATTTGTAGAAAAGCTTTGAAAAGTGAAAAACTTCTTTAAAAAAGCAGCAATAATGCATATGATAAATCTCCATTCTGTACTATAATAGGTAAATAAGCTCACACTGTTTCTAAAAAAAATATAAGAAATATATAAGACATATACAGTACAATAACTTTAAAGGTTTCATCACTGAATCTTTAATTCTTCAGTATAGTGCATTAGATATTAGTAACATTTAAACAACACTCAACTAAAGTATTTTGATAAAGATATGACATGATTTAAACATTAAGTTATATAAAACCCAATGGCTTATACAGTTTGAAGCTTCACATCTGCATCAAGTCATCATCAATCTTAGTACAAATGTTTACATAGACACAAACTTTATGGCCTTCCATTTTACATGTTTGTGAATTGACATTTCATTAAGCATCAAAACACACACAACCTTCTTGCCATCTTTCTTTGGATCATGAACTTTAACTTCAAAGCATTCAAGGCATCCTTAGTGAATCCATTATCTCCATCCATAGAATTTGACCATGATCAAATTAAATAACTCTGGATAGGGCAGACAATAAATCAATTATCTTTACAGCATTATCATTTTTTAAGACTCTGCCTGGTCAATAACATCTTCCAGTCATCTTTACTCCTTGATCTTCCCTGCATGTTGTCAGCAAATAGAACATAACAAGCTCTGCTCCAAATCATGGGTACCGTTTGGGCTGATCATTTCTTTTTGATACTTACTCACAGAACGAAATGTCTGCAGGGTCTTTTTTGCTTTAGGGAAACTATTTAGCAAATAAATGGGTAAATTTACGATTTCATGCATTAACAAATGACAGAAAAGTATGCAGAATTTTATAAACAAAAACAGGAAAACATCAGTATATTTGGCGTTCAAGTCAGTCTTAAAAAATACGATCTTTAATATGTATTTTATGGCTTTTCAAGTGCATGTATAATTGCTTTTCAATCGTTGACAGACTAACAAAACAAACAACTACCTCACCTGTGAGAAGCGATATGTTCCTTTTTGTGGAAACTACGACATCCAACAATTGAACGATTGAAGTGTTGGCATTATAAAAGAAATGCCAAAAAAGAATCGTCACAGAATATGGAACTAACGATATCCATATTCTGTGATATCGTGTTTGTTTTTGAAAAATTCTTTATAATTTACTATAGACACCAGGGGGAGGTCGAGAATATTATTTTTCTGCAAAGCGATCATTTCAGCGGAAATACGTCCTTTGGCCGCCATTTTTTTGGCGACCTCGCCCCAGTAAAGATAGCCGCTCCAGTTATTATAGAACTCAATGGTCTAGATTGCTGACGAGTGTGACGTAATATAAGACTTATTAAGACGGCAGCGTGACATTCATGATAAATCCAAGATGGCGCGGGAACCGGGCAAAAAACTTAGGGCTTGTATTAGGCAATTGTTGTTTTTTGCAGTTTACTTCGTTTCAGTGTTTTCAAACTCCTCCAATCAAGTTTTATTGGAAACAAAGCGTTATTAATAATGTTTTGAAGCCATATTAGACAATTATTATTGGAATACAGGCGAAAATATCGCTTGCGAAGTGTTGTGTAAATTGGTCGTTTGGTTGTCTCGAAGCGTTTGTCTACCAAACTAAACGGATTTTGTATGCTTTAGTTACCATAATTGTTCGTCCACATTGAAATACATGATATTGAATACATACAAAAAGATGGGAAAATTAATCTTCATCGAAGGGCTTTATCTGCTGCTTTTACTACTTTTACCAATGAGGACGATGGACTTGTAAGCTTGCCATAGGTCTTGAAAGATGTTAAGCTTGACTTTAATGAACCTTCATGACAGTATGAGTGGTCAGGTATGAGAGGTTGGTCATCATTCTCTATGGTTAAGGCAGTTGCACATTCAGCACACTTGATGCAACTTGTAATTTTCTTGGCTATGTATCCACTGATATAGGTCAGTACATCATCATGCCAAAGAGTGGAACTGTTTAATAACGCTGCAACTCTCCTATCAACATTTTGTGTCTCTTCAGCTAGCTTGCTTTCACTTACAATAGAGCAGTTGGCAGTTGCTGTCATGTATTGAACAAAGAAATATCAGTAGTTTACTTATCTTTGTACGTAAGTGTCATAAAATGAACCAACTGAGCAGTATTATACAATTTTTATCAGAAGTCATTAGTTGCATGTTAATAATGTGATGCAATTTAGACATTTGTAGTTATAAAATTGTATTGCCATTGGAAGCAACTGGTATCATAGATGGTGTTGTAGCTATAGCATAATAAAAACATATACTATAACTAAGTATAAGCATAAAAGTCACATATATTTTATTCACAGCTATATCTTACAATAATCTCAGCCATAGCCAGCATTTTTATTTGCTCATTCTATCTCAATCTTGCTGTTTTCACTCACTGTAAAAACAATAGATTTCTAATGAATGAGCAATGATGCAGTGAAATTTACATAGCAAGTGTAAAACATTCATTCTGGATATGCCACCAATGACATCCATATCAAATATTTCATAAGATAATACCTACATTTAATGAACACCTTAGCTCTGGTAAAAAATACTTTATACAGAGCTTTATAACTCTCTCAAAAAATAGTATTGTAACAGTATCTTGGGTTATGTGTTTGAATGTAATTATGTCAGATTTTGAAATAACCACTGTTAATATAACAAGCTTCTGAACATAAGTTCCTTCTCTTTCGTTGAACCTCTTAGCTGTAAGATCTCATCAGTATAGCCAATGCTCCTGGATACAATTACTTGATATGAGGCAAGTTTCCTTCAGTTAGGTTTACTAACTTTAATAGCTTCACTAAGATCTTGTCAGTAGATAATAGTGCTGCATTGTTATGTATCTCCTTGCTCCTCTTTTCATTCATTCAAAGTCGGATGGCTTTTCTAAACCGTGTTTGAATCTCACATATCTCACATATCAGCAGACCTGCCAACCCCAAGGAATACAAAACCTTGAGATTAATGCAGAAAAACCGGGAGATCTGGCAAAAAAACTGGAGATTTCTATTCTTGTATACGACATATTTTTAGATTGATTTATTAGACAAATGGCAATGATTACCTCAAGTGTTATGCACAAAAATTTTAACTGGCAGTCAATTTGTGTTACATAATTATACGAAAAAACAAAAATGAATGTCATGCCCAGTTCACGGCGCACTGCGGCTACAATACGTTATGTTTTGAATGCTATTCATCGAGTATTTCTTTCCATGCGATGAATAAAAATGCCAACAAACTTCTAAAATCCTAAGCTTTAAAAAAACCGGGAGATTTAGTATCTTTGTCGGGAGGTCGGGAAAAATGCAGCAAAAGCGGGAGTCTCCCGGCGAAACCGGGAGAGTTGGCAGGTCTGTATCAGTACGAGTACAGTGGGAGTGCTTTCTCGAATAAGTCGCTTTTTTGTCAGAAATATTCAGATTGATTCCCCAATCTTTCTGTAAATTGTCAATATGACATATTCTGATGCGCAACAAATCAGTATGGGAGTTAAAGCTGAAAAAAATCTGTTTCTCTTAGTGGACAAACGACTTGAGACCACATAACGACCAATTTACACAATATTTCGAAAGCGATATTTTCACCCGTATTTCAATTATAACTGTCCAATATGGTTTCAAGACACTTGAAATAAAGATTTGTTTCCAATAAAACTTCATCGGAAGAGTTTGAAAACAATGAGAAGAATTAAATTGCGAAAAACATCAATTGCCCTATAGTGACTCTATGTTTTTTGCCCGGTTCCCACGCCATCTTGGATTTATCATGGATGTCACGCAATATGGCCGCTCGTTAGTAATCTAGACCTACTATATCTATGAGACTGGGCGAAGCAACGCGTTCTCTTCAGGTTTCTGACTTCAAGCCAAGCTGTAAAATTGTCGAGGACATTTTCGCTCACGTCTGAAAGTATACCTCGGTCTTCTAAAGCTTTAGTTTATTCAGAATATGGCGACCCAAGTAAGGTTATCCTGTAAGGTAAAAATATTCCTGTGAACTGTGAATTTTACCGTGAAAGTGGTTAAGTTGTTCTGTAGTCAGTGCCGACCATTTTACACATGGCAATTCATGCAAAGATTTAGTGCTAGCTCCTACACACGCATGCTCGCCATTTTATCTTATTTCCTTTTTATTGTTGTAATTTATGTATCATATTACTTTTATATAAACCTTGTATTGTTTATTATTTCACTTATACTGAAGATGGCCTCATGAGATGTCGAAACATGTCTATTTTAAAAAAACTCGTCGTGTATATTAACTGCGCATTAGCAATAGTGCTTCTACGAAATTATCAATAATGCCAGTCGACTGGACCACTATGCTGCCACACCGGGTGGAAGATCAGCCTGGTCGGCAGCCGCTTCACACATGCTGCTGAATCCCGATATGCACCGATAGAAGGGGAGGCACTGGCGGTCGCAGACGCCCTTGACAAAGCCAGGTTCTTCGTACTCGGTTGCACCAACCTCACAATCGCCGTAGACCACAAACCCCTGCTTAAGCTATTCGGTGATCGGACATTGGAAAACATCCCAAACCCCCGCCTACGTAATCTCAAGAAGACACTGAGGTACAGATTCCAAATGATTCATATCCCTGGTATCCGTCACAAAGCCGCCGATGCGATCTCCCGCCACCCCACAGGTCCAGAGAACCCCACCATGCTTTACCTCGAGGACGACATAGCAGAGTTAAAGGACACTACCATACACACCGGCTTTGACGAAACCATCGCTTCACTCGCTTCTCTAGCACTTACAAACGTCGCCACAACCTGGGACAGGGTACGCATGGCAACTGCAAGCGACACCACTATGCACGATCTCATGAATGTCATTGAATCTGGCTTTCCAGCTTCACGTAATGACCTGCCGACACCATTACAAGAATACTACCAGTTCCGCCACAGCCTCTACACAGTGGACGGCGTCATCATTTACAGAGATCGTGTGGTTATCCCACCACTGTTACGCAAAAATATCCTGGAAGTTCTACACTCGGCACACCAGGACATATCATCTATGACATCCCGCGCAGAGGACTCAGTCTTCTGGCCGGGAATCACCTCAGATATTGCAGCAATGCGTACGCAATGCAACCACTGCAACCGGATGGCACCATCCCAACCCAGCGCACCACCCACACCAACCATCTCACCAGCCTACCCCTTTCAGTGCATCTGTGCGGATTATTTCCACTACAAAGGATCCAACTATCTCGTAATCGTAGACCGTTACTCTAACTGGCCTATTATCGAACGAGCCAAAGACGGTTGCGTCGGACTAATCAAATGCCTACGTCGCGTCTTCACCACCTTTGGGATCCCAGACGAATGCGCTACTGACGGCGGACCAGAATTCACCGCCGTCAAAACACGGCAGTTCCTCAAACAATGGGGAGTACACCACCGCCTCGCCTCCGTTGCATTCCTGCACTCAAATTACCGCGCGGAGGTTGCCGTTAAAACTGTGAAACGCCTCATCACGAACAATACCGGCCCCACTGGTAGCCTCAACACAAACGCCTTACAAATTGCTGTTCTACAATATCATAACACGCCTGATACCGATACGAAATTATCACCGGCCCAATGCGTCTTCGGTAGACCCATTAAGGATTTCATACCAATTTTCCCCGGCCGTTATAGGCCACACATGACCTGGAGGGAAACACTCAATGCTCGCGAGGAGGCTTTACGAAACCGGCACATGAGAGCGGCGGAACGTTGGTCAGAACACACAAGAAGATTGCCACCTCTGTCCATTGGACATCACGTAAGAATACAGAACCAAACAGGACCGTACCCTGCGAAATGGGACAAGACTGGAACAGTCATCGAAGTCCTTCAACACGATCAATACCGCGTCAAAGTCGACGGGTCCAACAGAATTACACTAAGAAACAGAAAATTTCTCCGGCAATTCACACCTGTACAAGAGCATTTACCCAAATATACTACTGATACGGACCTGCTGCTGATACCAAAAGTCTCAACGGAGAACCTTACTCCCAACAAAATGACAGCCAGCAGAAAACAAACACCGTCATTACCATGTCTAAGACCGGCGACACAGACTGATACCCCGAAGCCAGCACCACTACCGAGCACAGATACCGCAGATGGAACTTCACCACACGCAACCAAAATACCTGAAGATGCCAGTGAACCTACAACAGCGACCACAAAGCCAAGCAAGAAAGCACCACTAGCTCTACGCAGATTACTCGATTTCAACAAGAAAAGGCTGTTAGAAAATTGAGAGGATGAACAAATATCATAGAACAACTTTATATTACGCTTTCCTATACTAGTAAAGACTTAGGGGGGGATAGAGCATAATGGGATAATCGTTGAGTAATAAGGGGCCTGGACCCAACTGTTATTGTTGTTTGTCATTTGTAAACGAATGACCTTTGTATTTTGTCTCTCAATATATATTTTACAAGATCCTCATTTCGTGAAATAGACTAAGTCTTATCTAGTAACGAGGGTGTCGGGGAAGTGTTGGCAGTTGGTGATGATGTGAAGTCTGTCCGTGTTGGGGACTGGGTATTAATGGGAATTGCAGGACTTGGTATTAGCCAATCATATGAGTTAACTCCATTAGACTTTATCAGAAAATAGTTTTATTGTCTTTTTGATACAAATTTGCAAAGGTAGTTGGATGGAGATGAAGGTATTGAAAGAGGATGATTGCATCAAAATTGCAGTAAAAAATGGTCTTTCTATGAAAGATGCAGCCATGTTTTCCATAAATCCCTGTACAGCTTACAGAATGTTGAAAGACTTTCAACCATTGCAAGGTGTGTATGTTTGAAATCTCTTTCACAAAATCTCCAACTGCATGGCTTTTAAATGTAGAATTGTTTTACACAAACCATGCAACGAGACGTTTACCATTGTCACAAGTTGAAACTGTACATTTAACGTTGTATCAACACCAACATCATGATGATAAATAATTTTATTTTAACCATTGCAGACAGAAAGTGAGAATTAATAATCTTCAATGTTTTAATCAAGAAAATATTATTCAAAAAAATTTAATTCCTCAAATCAAATGAACTTATGTCAAAATCGTAAAAGTTTTATTTATTTTCATCACAGTTATTGACATGACGTCATGATGATGTTTTTACATACGGGAATTGTTGACAGTATATAACATTTTCTGTCTTTAAGGTCATATGTACATAATAAACGTACAAAAATGATCTCTCACATTTTTCAACTAATGACCATAAAACCCAAATGGTTTTTTTATACATGTGAATTTTTAAGAGCATACAAAACCTATTTCCACGATATTAAATTGTATTTACAGTTCTTGAAAGCATGTAATGATTAATCACATTAATGATTCAACTTCTGTAAAATTTTTCTTTAGTGCTTTCATTTTGTAAGTTAATTGATTCAATAATAAAAAGACAGTTTGCCTTACAAAAGTAGTCGTTCCGTAGAAAAATGTTACATGTTCCGTAGAAAATTATTGCATGTTCCGTAGAAAATTAAAAACATTGCGCGCGCATATACTTTATATTCTGTGATACATGAAGCTTAACGTCATTTGATCAAACATGGCGGCTTGTCGACTATGCAATGTAAACCTTTTTATGCCATGCAACTTCTGTCCTTATTGCGGCTGTAGAGTTACAGGTATGATGAAGATTGATTGTATAATTTGAAAGAAAATATCACTCAGACAATTTCTCTATTCTTTTGTAGCCGAAAGAGACATTATAGAGAACTATTTTAATTATGGATATAAATATAATATCATAATTAGGCTACTAAAGAATGAGAATGGTATTGAAATGGATTTACGGACTCTAAAGCGCAGACTTAAATCTTACAATTTAACCAGAAGGCAAACAGTTCCGGAGGACCTTGTGCGCGAAATTATTTGGAATGAGATGCAAGGTCCTGGATGCTTGGCTGGTTATCGGAAGATGTGGCACATACTTAAACTAAAGCATCACATACATGTACCCCGAAAACTGGTGGAATGTATTTTAAAGGAACTAGATCCAGAGGCATGTGCTTTGAGAAAGCAAAAAAAACTAAAAAGGCGTAACTATTTATTATATAGAGCTAATCAGTGCTGGCACATTGATGGTAAGTAACAATTTTTATCATTTCGGTTTTCATTAACTTTCTATCTGTTATCATCATTGCGTTCATTGTTATCTAATTTTTATTTCCACATGTAGGATATGCTGAAGCCATTTGGATTCCCTGTGCATGGTGCAATTGATGGTTTCAGCAGGAAAGTTCTTTGGTTAGAAGTTACACAGTCAAATAATTTGCCAGAGAGTGTGGCTAAATTTTATTTTGAGGCAGTAAGAAAGAATAAGGCATGTCCTTTGCAGACTCTTAGTGACTGTGGAACAGAGAATGGGATCATTGCAGCAGCTCAATGCTACTTTCGATCACTTGACAATGCACCATTTTGTGGTAGTCAAGCTCATGCATTTGGTACATCTCCATCAAACCAAAGAATTAAGAATTGGTGGTCACATTTTAGAAAAACATGTTCAAGTTGGTGGGTTCAATTTTTCAAAGATCTTTGTGAGGAAAAGCAGTTAAATTTAAATGATGATTTCACTAAAAAATGATTGTGGTTTTGTTTTAATGCTGTCTTGCAAAATTCATTTAATGATTGTCAGGTTTATTGGAATACTCACTATATTCGGCAATCTCGCCATGAAACTGTTGCTGGAGTTCCAAATGTTTTATATGCAATGCCCGAGGAGTATGGGGCTTTTGATCGCCAAGTGAGAGTTACTGAAGAGAAATTGCCAATAGCTGAGAGCAGTGGTTGCCATAATGAATCGTTGTAAGATAATGCTTTTCAAGATTATTTTCATTACTTGGTTGAGTTGCAAAGATTACAATATCCTGAAAACTATCAGGAAGCATCAGAATTATTTGCACTGCTAATGCAAAATAATGTTTGTGTTATCTAACAAAAATTTTAAGTTGTCTTAACATTAAAAACGTTTTAAGAGAGAAATGTCCTTGAAATATATAATTGATACTGTATTCTTTAAATGAAGCCAAAACCAGAACTTTCTGCAAGTGTAGCATCCATTAAATCTTCAAATTGCTTTGAATCATCAATATGAACTGGGAGTGTTAAGCTTGTAGCACAGGTTGAGGCTGTTGGTCTGCATCCATGTTGGTCTGCAACCAGCTTTGCATCCATGCTTGAATTTCACAGTGATGGTTTTTTCCATGCCAAGTGGGGTCACTGTTTCAACTCCAGTTATAAATTTGTACAATGCAGACAAAGAATTTGTAGCTCCTTGAAAAACAATACAAAAAGTAAAATGAAGCAAATCATTGGATAAGTTGATCAATTTACTCCTTTAAAATTATTCAGGAAAATTGTCCAGACTTAAAGAACTATTGGAACAATAAGAGCATCTCAAGATTGCAAAATATATAAATGCCTTGATTACATTACTGAAAAATTACATTTTATATCCACTACTTGCAACCAACTTCAGCAGCTTTAGCAATCGATATCCTCCCTGGTATGTTCCCTGGTCAATGCAATGCTCATTAATCACTATGTATACCGGTTTTAGCTTCAAGAGCTTGAATATAATCACAAAAAAACTTGTGAATATTGATTTCTAATAACTTTTGGTTGCTCCCTTCAGGACTGCATTCTATCAAAATGTGATCTAGAATATGATCAGCTGTCACTGAAAACGTTTTTGCTCCATCAATGGTATATAATGGTTCCATAACATTTCTGTTTTTGCACAACTCAGTCAAAACCCCATGTAGCTGAAGACCAGATATTAATTGGTCAATAATGGCTAGAGTTTTTGACACATCACTTATCACAAGAGACCTGAAATATGAAATATTAAAATATAAAATAATTTCCTTCAGAGCTATTGCAGCATTTCCAAAGCCATCTTTACATTATGGAATTTACCTAATTATCTTGTCGCTTGTTTCTCTTGACTCCTTAGATGGAATACCACAATAACCAATTACTTGCAAAACATTCATCGTCGAGTCTTCTTCCAGAAATGCAACCAAATCATCATCGTTTGCACAAGACTTGATCTGTAAAATTTCTTATTCAGAAATATTCACTTTAATACACAAACAGAGATGCAGGTTATAAGCAATTTTCAAAGATTACCTTTTCAACAGTTATTTTAATTGTGTCATCCTTTAACTGTTCACACCAGTTGTGTGCATGTACGCTTGATATTCCATGCACTATGTAATTGTACACTTGTGAAGAAAACAAACAGGGAGCTGGTCCTCCTTGAACAATTGACACAGCAATAATTTCTCCTGCAACTTTGAATTCTTCATTGGCGAAGGCTTGTACATTCACTACTGGAAATCCTGTTTCGTTGAACAGCTTCCTCTGTATATAGTTGAGGCATTCTGTACAAGAAAATGTTATTACAATACTCCAATAAATTAATTTTCTATCATTGCAAGTGTTGTACCAATTTATTCAATATCTTTAGACATTAAAACACTTGTATACTATTTCAAAACTGTTACTGTTATTTACTTAACATTTAGTTAATCTTACCTGTAAAAAATTCACGTCTTGGGCCACCTGTATCAATGGCTGGTTCTCCCGCAAATGACACTTTCAGAATACCTTCTGACTTAAAATACTTCTTCAGTCGTGCATCCATATAGTCTTTAAATGCATAACGCCTTCGAATAGTTATTCTGTTGACTAATGTCATCTTTAAATTGCTCTTTAAATTTTCAACAACTTGTTGCACAGTTTCCAACTTATCAGTCACACTTTTAGCTTTTTCACTCAATAAGTTTCCCTCCACAATCTGGATTTCACAGTCTTGGTCATCAGATTCACATTCACCAACAGTATCTATATATGTCTCAGCACAAAGATCGGCATGAACTTCAATTTCATTGCGAGGAAAATGTATCAAACATGTTGGACACTGGTGAGTTGTGACCAAGTATTTTTCAATGCTGCCTGACGTCTGTTGCAATGACAATTTAGGTTGAGATGAACATGGGATGTTTGGTGCTGTCAAAGACGTTGTTGACTCCGAAGTAGTTGCATGTTTTGGTGATGGTAACTCTTGAATTCCTAAGTTGCTATTGTCAACATTACAATTAAATGGAACAAACAGAAGCTCTTCGTCTGAATGATTGTCTTCATTGTAACAGGAACAATGTTCAAAATCATCTTTCGGACATAACCAGAAGAAAATTTTACAATAGGGTTTTAGTAGGTCTCGTTTGTATTCTCCAAGGGTGAAAGGTGTGTTACTACCTGGTAAACCTTTAACAAGAGTCATATCTTGATAGAGAATGACATAAGTATCATCTCTGTCAAATTGTTTAAAGTGCCTTGCATGTTTCTCAACTGTCTTTTCGAGCAATACCTTGGCATTGTCGTCTTTATTAAATAATACAGGAATAGTTCTTCCTTTGATTTTTTTCAATCTACCATCTTCAACACTTTCTCTAACCACACCAACTTGCACTTTCACTTCTTGTGCTAACCTAGCTTTTTTATTTGCTGTTGAAATGCTCCTCTTTTTTGTTTTAGAAATTGAGAATTTAGAGCATCTATCTTGTTCTTTTTGTTTTCGAAATTCATGAAAGGTCATAGGACGTAAGTCACGAGGCATACTGTCATTACAAATGATGGAAGTTGAGCCACTTGCTGGAGGGCTTTGATTGTTAGATGTGCCAGAGTTGTTATAAGACTGGATAATGTTATTACACTGCACAAGGGAATCTAAAGTTAATAAAAGAGTTAATTTTACATGAATTCATTTCTTATTCTTTAATCTTTTTTATAAAGTTGAAAAATTCTTTATTCTAAAGTCTATTCATTTTAATTTACAGAGACTGGGATATCAATTAATAGTTTTATAAAGTATTTTCAATTAATTTACAAAGTAAGCATTTTGAATTAAATATTATCTTGAATTACCTTTTTTTGCAACCGCATGGCCACAATTATGACAAAAACTTCCGCCTTGTAATATTTTAGTACCACAATTTTGGCAATACATATACAAAATACATATAAAATTCCTTTGCTACAAAAGAATAGAGAAATTGTCTGAGTGATATTTTCTTTCAAATTATACAATCAATCGACATCATACCTGTAACTCTACAGCCGCAATAAGGACAGAAGTTGCATGGCATAAAAAGGTTCACATTGCACAATCGACAAGCCGCCATGTTTGATCAAATGACGTTAAGCTTCATGTATCACAGAATATAAAGTATATGCGCGCGCAATGTTTTTAATTTTCTACGGAACATGCAATAATTTTCTACGGAACATGTAACATTTTTCTACAGAACCAGGGGCGGATTTAAGGGTCATCAAATCCATCACGCGACGAACGTATGAAATGGTGATTAATTATTCATGCAACATACTAAAATTAATAAATAATTAAGTCAACTATCACATATCGTAAGCCAAACGAAAGCATAACGATCAGAATTAATTAATGGCCTGAGTGTACAGCCGTTTTTTTAAGGAAAGCTATGTAATTAGCCTCAAATATGATCTCAAGCCCACAGAGTCAAATCTTAGTCTTCTCATTGGTCAATTCGCCTATTGCCATGGAAACTTGCAGTTTTGATGTATCTGTGGGGAGCCCTGATGGATTGACGACTTTCAAGGGCTCTAACTATCATATTTTATATTATCGACTAGTATTTTTACTTTGTTATTTTACGCTATTTGATACTTTGACTGATTCACAGGGGGGGTCATTTATTTTGAAGGTCTTATCTTTCGCTACATCGCAAAATTACAATCACGCTTTGTTTAAAAAAGTTTCAGTTGTATCTGATATGGATTACGGTGTTGTTCAAGCTGCCTTTGCGGCAGATGATTGTAAAATTTTGGCAGGTTTTTATGTTTATCTTGCCAGGCAACTAAATGAGCAAGATGAGATATTGCTTGAGCAACTATTGGGTGCCATAAGTAGCTCGTCAAACAGCATTAGCAGAAATTATTGCGCGGAAACTTATATTCCTTTGGCTGTTCGAAATCAAAAGGAAAAATCGTGCATAGCTTTGAGGTAAACTATATATTTTGTACAATTTTTCTCATATTTCACTAACAATATGTAAGAATGTAAATATGCATACAAACGGTATTGATGACTTGCCTTGTTTACGTTCGCACGGTTTGCTGGCAGGCAGATAAATCTCAAGGGAAGTTAAGCATTTTGCTTAATTGTGCTGTGTTTCCAAAACGAAAGCACTATACAAAGTCTGCTTGCTATAAGTTGCCAGCAAAACGTCTGGTTGTATATTACAGGTCACTTGTGTTGTGTAAATCTCATCAACCTTTCAACTTGCTGATTTTTGTGGTTTTAGACTCGCATTTTAAAACTTTATGAATGTACAGTGAGATAAACTTGTCAAATTTTCAGTTCAACCTGCTTGTTGATTATTCCTTGATTCTTTATAATTCTACTATTAACTATCCTATTTGAATTACTTATATTCATTCCCTGCTTATAGTTGTCAGCACTATTACACATTTCATATAGAGAATGTAGATTTTGTCAATATAAAAACATAAAGTAAATATCATATTTACGCGAGATTTTATTGTCAGTTAGCTATTTTATTACTCAATAAAACTAAATAAGATTATAACATGATTATATAATACATTTATCAAATAATGTCATATATAGAACATTTTGGAACCAAACCCAAAAATTCTTTCATCATCAGCTTCATGTATTTTCTTAGATCAGAAGCTTCAGGGAATTGCTTGTACAGTTCCGTGTCTTTGTCTCTGCTTGGTGATGATAGATTGGTTCCAACTTTAAGAATCTTAACCTCACTTGAGCTTTTCCTGAATGCTCATTTTACTGTGAGCATCCCTGCTTTTTGTCTGCCATTGAAGAGCATCCTGATTTTTTAAGGGAAGTATAAAAATCTTTTACCTTTATCTGTCTCTGTTGAGTCCTTAGATACCGGTGCTAGTAAGGAAAATTTAGTGAAGAAAGAGGCTGTTTTAATTGCAATGATGGTAAATGGTCATCATTTCTTTGTATTTTGGGTCTGTCTTCAGTTTTGAAAAGATGTATTGTTACATATTATCCGGATTGTGGACAACACAGGCTCAAACTTTTATTTAATCGTGTTATTCAACCCCGCTTGCATACTACTAGGGTTGAAAAAGAAATTCATATTCTATTCTGCCATGAAGGTGACATAAGAACTGGAGAATCATTTCAGCCTAACCATTTTGTCCCTCTTCTTTTCATGCAAGTGCACACAAGCGAAAGTCTGCTGACATTACACAAGCCACAACGTCAGCAAAAAAACGTAAGGTGCCTTCCTTATTTTCCAAGAAGGTGGCAAAATTTCCTTCTGGTAATATTCCAATTATTTCTAACTTTTTACTGCATCAGAAAAACAGCCATCCAAGTTATTTGAAAAAAAGCCCAATGAAACTTTTTCTTCTGCCAAACAAGTTCCTTCTTATATCACGTTGAAACAACCAATTAAGTCCTCCGCTAGTCAATCTTGTCCAGAAAAGAAGTATCATTCTGTGCATAATTTTGATGTTGCAACTTACCAGGATAAAGTTAAAGGCTTAGATACTTCTGGTGTTCTTCAATTGATTAAAAATGTTTTCAGGCCTGATGAGAATTTTTCCTTTCCTAAGACCGGTGGTAGGAGCTTTAGATATGACTGGCTAAAAAAATATGACTGGCTATGCTACTCCCCATCAAAAGATGGTGCATTTTGTTTGTCATGCGTGCTTTTGGTCATCGCTCCCTGGTAAAGCTTCTAAGATTACAAATTTGTTTTCTAAACCGGTTTCACGCTGGAATGATGCTGCATTTACTTTTAAACGCCATGATGAAGGAGAAGTGGGGTTGCATGCCCAAACAAATCCAATTTTATTTGCCTTACGTGCTCAAATGTCAGGGTCTGCGCAACCAATAGAGCTCATGTTAGAAAGAAATCTTAAAGGAAATCGATCAGAACAAATGTAAGCTGTCTTCTATTGCTGATTGCATTCTTTTTTGTGGTCGTTTAGGTTTGCCTTTGCGTGGCCACCGTGATGATGCTAAATATCATCCAGAGGTTGGTCAGTATTCTACCGGGGGTGTTGGAAATTTTGTGGAGACACTAAATTTTAAAGTTCGTTCAGGGATGGTGTTTTAAGGGATCACTTAACATCTTGTGGGAAAAATAGAAGTTACATCTCTAAGACCAGCCAGAATAAAATGATCAAGTGCTTTGGAGAGGTTATTACTGAACAGATTGTCAACGACATTAAGGTTAATAGGTTCTTTTCTATTATAGCTGATGAGGCTGCAGATTCTTCCCATAGAGAGCAAATGGCTCTAATTTTACGTTTTATTGATAAGAATATGGACATAAGAGAGGAGTTCATTGCCTTTCTTCAATGTAAGTGGGGATTGAGTGGAGAGAACCTTGCTAAATTAATTCTAGATAAACTTAAAGACCTTGGCTTGCCAATTGAAGACTGTCGCGGACAAGGTTATGATGGTGCGGGTGCTGTTGCAGGTTGTGTTAAAGGTTTGGCTGCCCAAATTTTGAAGCTCAACTCGAAAGCATTATATACCCACTGTTATAGTCATAGGCTTAATTTGTCAGTTTGTGATTCTTTGTCAGATATTGAGGTTAAGAAAGTACTTAACAAAATAAAAGATGTGACAAATTTTATCAATATTTCTCAAACACGCAATATACCGTTTGAGGAGACTGTACGCAATAGTTTAGAAACGGACTCAAAAAAGACTAGATTGCCAGATGTTTGTAGAACCAGATGGGTAGAACGAGTTAAAGGTTTAGACACTTTCGAAGAATTGTTTGTTCAAATTTTTGACACACTGGATAACATGGCAAAAGGTGGCAGTCCCTCTCTCGCTGCTGATGCATCCTCTTTGCTTGAAGGTCTTTCTGAGTTTCATTTTATCGCCCTCTTGGTTATTACCAGAAATGTTTTGATCTAACGCTTCCTGTTACTCAGCTTTTGCAAGGAAAGAGTATTGATGTTATGGACGGGATTGAGTTGATCTCTTCTTTGAAAAGCAGTGTTGCACATGTGAGGAATTCTATTGATTCATATCATGATCAATGGTACGACATTGCTTTGACGTTAGCGGCAAAGGTTGGGGTAGAAGAATGTAAACGTAGGACAATTGGAAGGCAAACTACAAGGCCTAACGCTCCTTATCGTTCTATCTCGAGTATTACAAACGAATCTATACGATTCCTTTAATTGACCATCTTCTCTCGTCTTTGGATGCGCGATTTGACACGGAAAGTGTAAATGTTTATCAAGGACTAAGTATTGTTCCAACAAAAATGTTTTCTCTTATAAAAAATGGGATTGACTGGAGACATAAATTTAAGATTGTTTCAAAATTTTATGTTGCTGATTTACCCAATCAGTTAGGTTTAGATGCAGAGTTGTTATTATGGCAATCCTTCTGGGAACATCGTAAAGGTCCTTATCCAAGTAATGTAGCTACAACTTTAAAAGCTATAAATTTTGATGGTTTTCAAAACATAAAGGTCATACTTCAAATATTAGGAACCCTTCCCATAACTTCATGCGAATGTGAACGTTCGATTTCAGCGCTGCGAATTCTTAAAGATTATAAGCGGAGTACTATGGTTGAGGAACGGTTAAATGGTCTTGCTCTAATGAAAATTCATCAGGAAATTCTTCCAGATGTGCAACGCGTAATTGATAAATTTTCTGTTGGCAAAACTAGATTTAAATTTAATTGAAATCATGAGAATTTTTTAAATTTTGTCTTTCTACATCTAAATTCTTTTTTAGTTTATTGATAAAATTGTGGATGTACCTATGTATAAAGGACATGCATTTAATTCTATGCAATAACCAGATTGCTGGCTTCGGCTCTTTAAAGGGCTGTCCATGTCGGATGATGCTTTGAAATTTGGGGCATCATCCTAGGCATGCTGAAGAGCCCTGATATTGGGCGAAACAGTCTGTCATCATCTGATTAAAGGGAATTCATCTTAGTTTTCGCAATTTTATGATCGCTAAAGTTTTATAAATCGCTGCATAAGATACAATGTATGATGTCATCTATGACGTCATATTTGAGGCCACATATGACGTCATAAATTTTTGACTAACATATGAAAAATCCTAGATCCGCCCCTGCTGTATAGACAACTGTTAAATGTTATCTATTTGTTAAATAAAAATAACCAAATTATCTAACCATACATTTTTATTAAAAAGTAAATCATCAACATGAAATTTGTTCAGAGATACAATACATAATAAGTTTTACAGAGCATCTTACAGTAGTAGTCTAATCTAGAGGATGCCCTGTTTAAATGACAATTCATTTATGAAGATTACAAGTAGAATCTTAGAAAGGAATAAACAAATATTCATGATCAATTAGTATAGAAGCGCTCTTTTTAAATACAAGTCATTTGTGTTATAAAAAGCAATTATACATCGTTTCACATTATTGCAAAACATAGATAATATTTTACATTCTTTAATAGCAGGAGGTAAGACATTCCAAGAAATAGAACCGATAAATTTAAAACATCTTTTGCAAAATTGGTCTAAATTTATTTTTGGTAAATATAGATAATTTCTTAAAGATTGCCTGGTAGAATAAGTACTTCTTCTGTAGAAAACTATAGTAGGTGGAAACAAGCAATCATCCTTACAACCATCAACATCTATGTGCAATTTTCTCAAAAGGTTTTTGAATTTACTATTAAAGTTTGAGTTGATGTATTTATTCAGGAACATTAAGTTTTAAAAATCGAATTCTACAATTTAAATTGTCAACCATAGCTAAAGTTCCTGTATTGGAATGAATAGTTATATGATACACTCCATAACTTCTTTCGTCAAATTTAGCGCATACTTCACCACTCTTTAAATCTCTAGCAACCAATGACATATGACGCACTCCAATGCAATACGATTTGTGTACAATTGGGTTGGAGTCCAATAAATAGTCACTGACATCATGCAAAATTGCATTCACATCACCATTCTTGTGAACATTAATGAAATAAATGCCCATACTTTTGATGTCTTTGCAAAATGTTATGACTGCTTGTTTACTGTCACTTATACAGCAGTTGAACTTTAGATCATTTACAGTTACCTGTTGTGGAAAGAATTTTTCAATGAGAGCTGTTATGTGTATTTCTGCAGTATGCCAAGGTTGCAAGTAAAGTTCATTGTTGTTATTTCCCCATTTCCATAATGTGTATTCTGTTTTGTTTACAGTTAAAATAACAGAATTATCAGGTGATACAGCTGCTGCTTTAATTTGAAAACTATCGTCAGGAAGTCGTTTGTTGTATTGTATCTCACCCTTGGTAAGTCTAACAACTTGAACAAACTTTTCTTCGTCAATACAAACTAAGACGTCACCAAATGTTAAGATTTTCTTTGGTGTAAATCCAATGTTAACTTGCTTTGCTTGAGTAGAATCTACAAAATTTTTAGATGAAGTTGATATCTTCATAAGATGATTAGAACTATCCCATATCCACAGTAAACCATCCGACCACCAACATCCTAATGCATTCTTCAGTTGCATTGGTACAGTTTGAATAATAGTGCAACGTTCAATACTCCAAATATGAATGTTGACGTGGTCACCAACAGCGAAAGCAGCAAAAAAAGATCCATCCGGTGAAAAACAACAACATTTAATTATAAATTTCTCAAAAATAAATGAAGGTCTCCAAAGATGATCAGTTTTAAAAATTTTAAGCTTGGAAAAATACGGCACAACGTAAAATTCCTTAAACGAGATTGGATGGACTTTGATAAGAGCCCTAACAACACATGGACACCTAACATGTGGTAAACAAAACTTAATTTCTCCTTGATCGTTGTATTTTGTCAACTGAGTGATTTCAGAAAGCTTTTCATTCTGGCTTGAATGATAAAAAATACAATCACGATAATGGTGTGTTATCATTAGATGTAAAGGTAGTGGATATTCATTTTTACTTGAAAAAACATCGATTGCCTTTGGGAATTGAAAAACACACGAAGTCTTGACGAATTTTGCAACAAAGAACTCTGAATGTTTATCGTTGTATTGTAGTTCTTGGTAATCAACAACGCAGCGTCGATCGATTCTTTGCAGAGTTAAAGAATTCCATGCAGTGAACACATCTTTAGAAGAAACTCCATCATATCTTGCTGTAATAAACAAACCAGAATCTAAGAAAGAGCAACGATTAACGACATCATTTGACTGTAAACATAATAACAAACGTCCAAAGTTAACGTCCCACAACTTTACTTCAGTAGATCCATCACTTGTTACCAGTCTATTTCCGGTAGATGAAAAGGAGCAACAACAGATGTTTCCACGTACAAAGCAGGATTTCTTTAATGTTGAATAGTCATTAAAGTCATACATGGACATAAATGTGTCAACATTATGCCACCTTTCCAACCTTAAATCATCGAGTGCAGTGCCTAGAGTGCAGCGTTGTTTGAATTCTGGAAGCTCAAAAATAGATATTTGACCATTTTCATATCCTACAGCAAAACGTTCTTCATTGGACAACACACAAAGAGATGTAACGTTAGCACGCAAGGGGACAGTCAAATGATGATGGTTTGTTAAATATGTCGAGTCTAAATCCTCAAACCAAACAAACTTTCCTTGTTTCAATAAATCCCTTGCCAATAATCTTTTTTCTTTACTGCCATCAATTCTGTTTGCAATAATTTGTAAATAAAAGAAGCAGCTATCTTCATACATATGTGAATGCTTACTCGCCCCTAACCAATGAAATAGTAGTTCATCAAGTAAATCTTTTCTCAAGAAAGTTTGTAGTTTCTTAATGATTTCAAACAATTCAGACCTAATGGTATACACGTTAATGTCTTCCACACACATTAACCTCACACAAATCACTTTGACATCAACTGCCCAGCTAAAGTCAACATTTTCACCACATTTTAACATATGATAGATTCCATTCTTCAAAGCATATTTAATCATAGCAGTGTTCATCTGATCTTTAAAAATGTTCATCGACTTGATGTGTTTAAACACTTTCTCACAAGCATGCCATAAGAACTTATGACCATTTTTTGGATCAACTGTAAACTCATGCTGTTCATAACCATCTGATTTCAACCAATCAATGAGAGATTTGTGATACACGGTCAAATAATCATCGTAAATTGGCAAAATTTGAGATAACGGTTCAATGATTTCACTGCGGACTTCAAACTTGATGTCATCAGAAAAACCTAAAAAGCTAAACAGGAAAGTTAATGGTAAAAACTCACGAGAGGCAGCCAACAATTCAAGAAATTGCATGAAAGTAGTTTCTGAGATAACAGAATTTCTGGTACTTTTCTTTGTTAACAGTTCTTTTACTCTTTTGAATTGCTTTGTGTAAACACCGCTTAACCCACTAGGGACCAATTGTTTAATATTCTCATCTTTAAGCTCAATTTCTTCTTTCTTTAAACTCAGTTGTGCGTGATAAGCAAAAAGAAATGATCCCTCACACTTTCTAACTAATGAGTGAAGAACGTAGCGATTTTTCTGCACCCGATCATTCAACTCATGTTTCAAATACTTTTCCAGGTCTTTTTCGTTGTTTTTATCACGAGGATGAGTTGTAATTTCCACAGGATTCATGTCTTTCAACTCCTTTTGAACAGGAAGTTCTGGACGACTGGTGATGAAGATTTTAATCCATTTAGGTAGTCGGTCAAACTCTTCTGCAATCAATTCCAACAATTCACTTTTGCCATCAACTTGGCTTTCATCTAAGGCATCAATAACAAAAAGCAATGGTTCATGACCTTCCAATGAATGCAATGGATTATTTAATAAAACACGGAATGCATCGGTGACTGATTTGTAGGAATGGTTTCTCTGTAATTCTTCATTCAGTTTACTTTTAAAATTTGATATTGTATCACACATGCTAGTAGCCAATGATTCTATTAATATTTGAGGATTTCTATAATCTGATCTATTATATCTGCAATAATGACAAGCAGCAAGTTTCTTCTTTTCAGAATATCGTCGACACACCTCAGCAGCAAACACACTTTTACCAACGCCAGGACCGGCAATCAAAATCATGACATTAGAAGCATCTTCACTTCTATCGTTAAACCAAGTGTCGAGTTTTTCAAATAACCATTGTCTAGTGCCTTGTAAGTATTTCGTGTTAAGATCTTTTATAAGACCGTTGAAATTACACTTTCCAAGCTTTTCGACATCTGAATATGTTTTGCCCTGTAACATTTTTTTTACTCCTGCTACATCAGCTTTTGTTTTCTTTACACTCTCATTTATGTTCGTAACTTTTGTTGCCATCTCCACAACATTTCTTTCTATTAATTTCACATCTTCTTTGATTTCTTCAGTGACATCGATTAACTGCTCTTCTGTTTTGTACCATTCTTTTAACATTTCAATATAATTTGCTTCATCGGTACTGAGGGGAGCTTTCTTTAATTCATCTATTTCAGTTTGTTGAATACCCAGACCAAACAATGCTTTTGAAATTTCCTGCCACAAGTACTCAAACTCACTGTCATTTACACTAGTTGTAGTTATGTGACCGTACACTTTGTTTCGATAAAACTTTATTCTTGCAATGTTTGCTGAGATTGAAGTATCTGAAGAGGAAGGAAGTTTATTCCATCCACCATGTGGCGCTGTTAAACCACATATGTTACGCAATAAGACAGTCAATAATGAAATTTCAATGCTTTCAATGTCAGGTGAACCAGTTGACGGGTAAAGAAGGTTCCATTGCTGTTTGCTGATGACTTTGAATTTTAGTGATGTCAATTTACTCTTTGTAGAAGGATCATTAAGTTTATCTTTTAAGTTTGATGACTGAAGGTTTATAATGCTTTGCAATGTTGTTTTTAAGGCTTGTGTTCCTTTATTGACCAAAAGTTTACTTAAACGAGATCCGTTTTCCTCTAACTTCAGTTTTTGAGGCGGTGAAGCCATTTTTCAAGCTAGAAATGAAGAACGAGTTTGTGCAAAAAGCATCAATTTGCAATGTACAGAATGAGCACAACGAGATCCATTTTCCTCAATCTTTAATTTATTAGGTGGCGAAACCATTTTTTATTCTAGAAATGAAAAAAGTTATAATTTAAAATGTACAAAATGTTCACAAATGTTAAAAGGATAAATTAAAAATAGTACTACAAGTCGTTTATAAAGACTTGTGTGCTTCATTTCCTTCTCTCGATTAAAATTGTGTTCACTGCCTAGTGACATGACCCAGTAATTGATCTTACATCAAAGCATAAAAATAGTAGACTTGATTCAATGAAAAAAAAATTAAAACGATAATATTTTTCGCTTACTCTGCGCGAGAGGCAGCAAATACTTGCGATAAAAACGTCTAGTTAATAAATAATATATCTTATTTGTCTAACAATCGTGTGGTGAAGAGATACGTCATTTTTTTAACATTTTTTCAAACTGGTTTGCTGTGTTGTATGAACATTTGCTTATTAACATTTTGATAGGACTATATAGCTGATGATTCTGTTCCAATTTATATTTTGGCCGAAGCGCTTGTGACCGTGGGCTCGTATTTGCTTGTGATTATAGGGTACGGTTTGGGTCAGCGTCCAAGGTGTCCGCTAAACTGCAGTAGTCCCCCATAGGACCATAGCTTGACTCTAATCATATATTTAAATTCTTCACCCTTTTTGACAATCTGTTAAATCCAAATTGTCATCATTACTAATTGAAATGAAAATAAAGAAAACTATCTCCTATCTGCTTTACATTTTCCTCACCAAAACACAGAACACAGGGTGAGAGATAAACAACGCGACATATGAATAAAATACAGAACAAAATACAAGTACGGACTGCACAGAGTATCAAGTTCTTTGTATTTTTTCCCAAACGAGATATATTTGACGTCTGTAATCACCAGTAAAGTGTATAAATGAATGATATTTTCAGCTGCAAGGTTTTGACTATAGTCACTAAAACAAAGTGCAGATTATACGCTCTAAAGCATAGGTAATTGAAGAATAACATAAGTGTTGACTTTACTTAAAACATTTCTATTCGTGATTGTTCGCATATGCGACTATCACCGATAATACAGCCGAGGATATCACGACGAACAAACACTTGCTGCCTCACTGAGACACTTTTTCAGTACGGCATAGTGGTTAGTCGCGCATGCACAGCGGCTACCCTCAAAAACTAACTAGTGATAAATTATATTGTTGTTATAATACAGTATAACTTCACGTCTACCACAGCTCCCCCCTAAAAAAATAGTGTTGCTCCCCAAAATTTTACAACCTAGCTACATAATCCCAAGTGGTCGTCCAAAATGCCATGTCCATGAAACAGTCATACAAGGCCTCGAGCGTTCAATATAGTCATCTTGCCTATGACACTTCCTGGCATAAATGATGATCATAATTTATAAGTTTGCTCTCGGGTGTTTTGGAGTAGGTGTCAAGCAAGGCCGCCAAATCACCGAACTTCTACCCTGACCCCGGGACTGCAGGAGCATCCTGTTTGATCTCCTGCAACTTCTGCCTTGCCAGGCGAAACTGGGGATGGCCGAAGTTGACTACGGCATTAGCGAGCACCTCAAAGGGATGCCTGCTGAGAAACTGTTGGTTTACTTTATTCGCAAGCATGCGATAGTCAGCCACGATGACAACACGCATATCCTGATCCGCCTGAGGCTCCCTGAGATTTGCTTCAAACCCTTGAGGGCTTTCCGTAAGTAATTGTACCAGCTGCGCACGTGGAGTGAAATAGTTGCTTTTGAGAAAGGCCTCGGGGATGTTCTGGCCCGCCAGAAAGCGGCCAAAGACGAGCAGCAGCAAGCGATTAAACTTCCCCTCTTTCCGAGTCTGGAGAGAAGGCGCGGTTGTAGTGAACGCCGGGAGTTGGTTTTTCAAACGGACATCAGCGACGCTGTCGTGAACTTGGCCTGTATCTTCAGAATGCTTCAGCAACCTGGATTTGACCGCGCTAAGGACCTACTCTTCATTGAGAAGCTTAGGGTGGCCCTCGAAGAAGGCATAGAGCTCTTTTACGCTTGGGTGTTTTTTTAGCTCCAGCAAAATCAACTTAACAAGGGGATGGGTTGGTATATACTGCAATGCTTTACGCAGGAAGGAGATGAAATCCCGGTGGCGATTTGGTGCTCCAGCGCCCTTTGCTCGGGCTCCATCGGGGAGATAACCCAAGACCTCCATAGAGGACGTAGCGCGTTTGATAATGTGCTCGGGTTGGTTCTCGATAAACTGGAGGACCTCCAGCCACTGCGCTTTTGGGATGAGAAAGGCCGACCGATAACCATCCGCCACTCGCTCAAGCCGCTGTGGGAGACCATCGACGATCCGGACTCGAATATGTTCCATTTTCTTCAAACATACGTTTAAAAATCTGGTGATATCCCGCCTGAACTTCTTCCTCTAATTCTTGGTCAAATTTTTTCTCAATTAAAAAAGATGCAAAGCTGCTAGCAAGCTTAAGAAACTTTCTGATAATGACGGAGAAAGCAAAGCTTTCACTGAAAGTTCACCGCAATAGATTTTTCGTCGCAATAATAGGCGAATGGCTGATTGGTGCAGTCCATAGCGAGGATCGGCCGCTCGCAGCGGGTCAAGAGTTTCTCGTACAGTTTGAAGATGAGAGCCGGTTTATTGCCCGTGCCGCCGAAGAGCGTATTAAGAAACCACTTCACGTTCGAATTATCCGTGAATCGGAAGAGATAGAGAAAGTTTGTGTTAATCTTCATGTTCTTTATGTTGTCGAAGCTCTGGGAGAGGAAGAAGATGTTCAATTTCAGATGATGGCTATACATCGTAAAGAACTTATAGAGGCATTCCCTCTGCGTTCCGCATTTGAGATTCATGACGTGTATGTCGTCGATGATGACGTAGGACTCCGGTTCTATACTCGCATCCTCGATCGATTCAGGCATGACGAAATAATGCTTCAAGACCGTGTTAGGTTGGATGTATTGATCAGCGAAGGTGTTCGAAATGACGTACAGCCTTTTCGGAAGAACGTGAGCAAGGAGCCGTTTCATGAAGAAGCTCTTGCCCATATTGCTTTGACCCAAGAGGAAAACATTTTGCCCCTTATTTCTTGAGTGAAGGCAGAAGCTCGTCAAACCATTCTTTTTTGTGAAATTCAAGCCCGGGGATAGCGGGGCATATGCCGCCACCAGTGCTAGTATCGCGCGCGATAACACTTGGAAGAACAGGAGGCGCGGGCGCCTGTGATGGCGTCGGGACGACTGACACGGGGGCGGGGAATAACAGCCGAAAATCCATTTCCGAAAGATATGCACCGCTCCAAATGTTGAACGATTGGCCGATGTGGGTGCTTGTCGGGGTCGAAGACGCGGCCCGCAAGGCATGGGAGATGCTGTTGTTGATTGGCTGATGGAAATGTGAAGCCGACGCGGGCGCCGAAGCAAGGACATTGGGTGCCAAACTTGTGGCTGAGTATTTCAACCTAGAAATGGCCCTCGATTTTGCGCGATTCGCTGCTCTCTTTCCCGTGCTCTTTTCAGCATCCAGGAGCATGCTCTTGAATTCACCTAAACTGCTATTCTTCGCTCGCCCCCCGTCTTCCGTCTTGTTGTCGATCTTGGCACTGTGCGTGTTCTTCGAACTGTTCCCCTCATCTTGCAAGTCCTTCCAACCCCTCGATCTTTTTACACCGCCCTTCATCTACTCGCGGGATGGCACATATTATACGCGGTAGTCGTCGGAGGGGTGAGACATGTTGCCGTTAAAAATACCCGCGCCGAAGATACTGTCAACGACGTTGTCCCCCAGCGAGCTGAGCGTACCGAGGGCGAAGGGGATAGCGGCATTCTTCGTGTAGGGGGACATCCTGGTGGCGGCTTCAAACAGCCTCCCGCTGTGCTCAGTATAAGGAATGGATTACCCGCTCTCGAGCGTTGACATCGAACGCCTCCTGAAGGCCGAGCGAGCCCGAAGACGGTTCGTTGGGGTCTGTAGCTACGACAGCCTACTATATCTCCACAATGGGCAGTTTTGCATCAGCAACACGGAAACATCTACCCTCTCCATAATCCGGTCGAAGAGGGGCACCACTGGCTAACTGTTTGTTGTACTGGAACACATGTGCTTGTCATCGATAGCTTTGGACGTGCGCTCGCTAAAATAGAGGAAGCATATAAAGAGCCCCAGCTGCGCAAATATTTTCTGGAGGCTTTTCCCGAGCGGGTCATGGTTACGAATACGTTTGCAGTGCAGAGTCGAGCAACGGCTGTCTGCGGGCGCCATGCTGTCCTGGCGGGGCGGCTGTTTGTAGAAGAGGGTTTTTAGAGGGGCTTTTGAAAAGATTAAGGGGGGTGTTCGGCGAAGACACTCTAGCTAATGATCAGAAGGTGCTCGATCTTGTGCCTCTGACAACTAACGGTGGTCTTGACGATTTCGAAGCTGAAAAGAAGCCGCCTACGTCACGTAGTGTCAAAGCCGTCGTCCCAACAAAGTATGGTCGCATTTCTACCAAACGGACGGACAAAGTGTTGAGGAACGTCTCGCAGAGGTGTACTTCAGTCCTGCGGGGTACTGGATGGCCATGCTGCTATCTCAAAGCTGGCAAAAGAGCTAGGCGTCGGCGAGGATGTTGCTCATGAATGGCTAACAAAACAGGCCATCTGGCAGATCTAATTGCCCGCACCAGCGCGAAGTGCTATCCTCCGACCTAAGTTTGACATCAGCACCCCGAATGAGGTCCACCAGACTGATCTCTTGTATCTGTCTCACGATCGAGTCGGAAGACGCACATTCAAATACGCATTGACGATGGTCGACGTAGCAAGTCGGTATAAGGAGGCTCAGGCAATCATAGACAAGACAGCGACCCAGGTTGGGAAGGCGTTAGAGTCTTTTTATGCCCGTGGGCCTCTTCGATGGCCTAAAGTTTTACAAGTCAACCCTGGCTCGGAGTTCCGCGGGGCTGAGCAAAAAGCGTAAGATAAAAATGGTGTGACACCATTCGACGGGGTAGGGTCGGAGTTCATAGAGATCAGGGGATAGTAGAAAGATTTAATCGAACTTGGGGGAGCGACTGTTCGGTTACCAGTATCATC